GGTAAAATTGGTTTAGCAATAATTTTTCACTTAATAGGCAGTTATAATTTTATTATTAAAATTTTGAGTAATTCTGGTCTAAATTTGATTGTTGCTTTTAATGAGAATCTGCCATGACAAATTGGTGCATAATCAGGATTTATTCTCATGGTATCCCTTATTAGGTTAGCATTACTGTAAATAGAAGATTATTTAAATTATTCTCATTTGAGCTCTGATTGTGCAAGTTCAGGCCTAAACTTGATTATATAAATTCAACTCTGTGGTTTTATAGGTATATTGCCCATTTAATATCTGCTAACTTCACATCGCTCAAATAACAATTTTTTTACTTTTATCTTTAATGATCAGTGATTATTGTTTTATCAATCCAATAAATAATCCTAAAATAAAAATGAAAAATGCTAAAAACCAGTAAATAGACATGCAAAATTTTTATTAGGTTATCAATATTGTAATTCTTCTAGATGCAATTTAGATGTGAATTTGATTCTAAATAGAAGGTTTTCTTTTTTTTTTTATAGTTATATATTTGTTTGCATTATAAACTATATTCTTATATTAATACATATACAATAAAAAAGCAGAATTTATATAATTTAGATATATATATGTAGAAGTTGACTAGCTAAGCAAAATATCTAGACAGTTAAATTGTGATTTGAAAACTGTGTAAATGATTTATATTTATGTGTAATTAAATACAGATGTAGTACTGATTATATTAAAATAAAATAGAATTTTAATTGCATGTGCTCATATATAAAGACATATATAATATATAGATATATATATTGTATATATCGATATAGATATAAGGTATGACAAAGTAACTTGTGAAAAATAAAAGTTATAATAATAAAGTCACATGGACCAATCAGATCTAAAATTTTTTGGACAGAAACAACTTCAAATACATATAAATCACATATTCATATACATTTATTTTTGATATTTCTAAATAAAATTAAATCTAATTTAACAATACTAAATTAATATGAAGTTGATTTTTTAAAAATTTGAAAAACTTCATAATTATTTACAGAAAAAAATTCATTGCTTTCTCAAATTGGTTTCTTATAGCTACTTTTACTACATCTACTTTTTTCATTTTCTTTTGATTCACTACAAATTTTTAAATTATTTTTTCCAAAAGATGGACCTGTATATCTATTTTGTCTAATTGTATGCTCTGTATCAATTATTTTACTAACTATTGAATTATCTAAATTTTGAAGATTTAATGAAAATAAAAAACTTGTTGAAGCTGTATGATAAGTATTTTTAGAAGTTTCCTTGCACCAATCAATTGGATTATATCTACCAAGAATTTTACCAGTATCTTTAACTTGTATAATTACCAGTGTTGAACTTTTGTTATCACATCGAGTATGAAATTTTTTAGAACTAAAGCCATGTCTTGAAGCACGTTGTATCAAATTGAATGTATAAAAAGTATTTGAATTTAAATTGCTTATTTCATTAATCCACTTTACTATCAATGCAATATATTTTTGTTCAATTATATTTGATTAAATAGTAAGTTGTCATGTAGATACAAAAGTAGATGTAATCCCACTAGAGATAGGAGTAAAGGTTTTGATAGTAGGTTTAAATTCTATAGTTGTAGTAGATTTAGATATTGTATCTGCAATAGACTTGACTTTGGAAGATTCAAATTTAATTCCTACAGATACTGGTAATTTAATATTAGATGTAAGTATAGTAGATTTTATAAATTGATTTAGTAAAAAAGAAAATGAAGAATCTGATAAATTTTTAAAAGATTCATTTGCAAGATTTGAACTTTGAAATTCATCAAAAGTATATGTATCTAAAAGTTGAATATAATCAAAAGCTTGATAAAAGGGACAAACTTTTTGACTAAAATCTTTTTTGCTAATTAATTTAAAATTAATATATTGGATAAAAGGTTTAATCAATTCTTTTAAAATTGTAAAATGATTAGTAGTATATTGAGAAACATCTAATGGTAAAGAATCAGACTGAATAGCTAACTATTTAAGAAGTTTTTCTCATAACTCAATTTCAGTAATATTATTTGGATGATTAATATAAAAATAAAGAAATTCTTCTTTTTCAAGTGTAATAAAATCATTACTCTTAAAAATATCCTCATCTTCTACAATAATTTTTTTCATAATTCTGATAATTTTGTTAATTTTGATAATTCTTTTCTATTAATAAGAGAAATATGTTTTTGAACAAGGTCTTTTTTTCCAACAATGAAAATTTCAATATAATTATATAGTTCAGTAAGATGAAGTTCATGTGCACCCCACAAAAGAAAAATAATATCTGAAAAATCAATATCATTAAGATCAATAGTGCCATTATAAATATATCTAAATTAAAACAAAATATTTTTAATAACCTTTGAAAATCATTTGTTTATATTTTAAGAAATTGGTATTTCCACATCCTCTTACAAAATTTTAAATATTTTAAATTTGAATAAAGATATCTTAGCACTTACTTAATCAAATTTTATGAACTTTTTTTATTTCAATTATACTATATCATACAATTAAAATAAAAAAAAGCTCATTAAATTTAGTAATCAGGTGCTAAAATATCTTTGATCAAAATTTTTTTGATTTTAACTTCTTTCTGCTATTCTAAATATCTTGGAATCTTGCACTTCTCTAAGGTCAGAGTTATCATTCACCAAAGTTCATATGTCCTCTAAAATGTCACTGTACTCATAAGATAACTCAAACTCCATTAAGTCCATCATATAACGTTCCGGGTTCCTGGTGATACAGCCAGGGCGGCCCCCCCTAAGTTTGGGTCACGGGTTATCACTGCCACATTTATGCAATAATAACGTAATGTGTGATTCCTTTGTAGAAATTTTTTATAACGATAACAATGATAAAGACGATAACTATTTACAGCATGTAGTAAATTTTAGAATGTGGTTTATTTGATGATATTAGGTAAAGACAAATAAGAAGACAAAAATATAATAAATATACTTTGGGTATGTCAACTAATTTTCTAAAACTTTTATGAATCATTAACAGTATTTAAATATTTTGTGTCATTACTTAATTCTTCTGTTATTTCTGGCTCCTCTAAGAGTGATAGGTACAAAAGGTATAGTTTTTTACTCATTGGATTTCAAGTTAGTTGTTGGTGTCTTTTTCATTCTACCTCCTGGATCTCTTCTTCAATTTGCAACGATTTACTCTCTTCCATCATAGCACGTACTTGACGCCAGTTATTAGCTGATTTTTCAATGTGGGTCCGCTTGAACGCCTGCTCAAACAAAGACCAATTAGACTCAACATAAGTATGAGCATCACTTTCTGGATCTTTGTCAATATCTTCCAGAATTTCAGCAGGCACGGATGAATAGATTTCTGCAATTTCTTCATTTTCAAGACCTTTTAAAATGAGAAATGGCTGAATAGTATGATGTTTGAAGTTGCACCTAAGTAGCTGTTGTCATTTTCCATCAGGTGTATTTATGACCTTTCGGACTAGATGATTACATATTAAAAAATGACTCTCGACAAAAGAACAACAACTACAAACCCAAGATGAGACATTAGTAAAATATAAACCATCTGAGTTTGTTATTTCTTTAATATGATTTCTTTTCCTTTTAATATTTTTATTATACATCTCAGCTCTCTGTTCTTCATTCGTACCTGTGTAAATCCACTCCTTTTTGAAATCCTTCCACCAGCATGGTTCTATTAAACCAGCCAAAACCTGCAAAAGTCGATCTATCTGCGTTGGAATCACTTCATTAAAAAGTGTCCAAAACAATAGATCTAATCTTGGAATATTAAAATGGTGCAGGTAACACTATTTAATAACACTCCAGTGGGCTTCTATTTTTATTGTTGTCTTTCCTAAGGGTATAGTAGGTTTTGTTGATTGTGCCCACAGATACCATCGATTAGGAGAGTATCAATTTGTCCACAAGTATGTCCATAATAAACATAACCTATTATCCAAGCAAAATTGATACATTTCTCTTACTACGCTTCGTCTAATTTCATTTTGATTCATAGTATTTCCCTGAACATCAACAGGTATTAAAGGGTGCATATCAAAATGTTTTTGAATCAAATTCAAAAATTTTTCATGATATTCTACTGAACAAATAATGTGAGTTTTGGGATTTCGTTCATTTGTTGTAGGATAAAAATTAGGATCGATGAAGTCGAATTCTCCTGTTACTTGACTAACATTATATTTTACAGATATTAATTCTTCACTTGATACTTTGGGTTTCTTATTTAACTTTAACTTTAGAGCCTGTTTCATATACCAAGCACAGAGTTGATTTACCGAAGACCCCCACACCCTTGCTACAGTATTTATTTCCACAAAATCTTTATTCGTAAATACAAAATCAGGTTTAATAGCATGATTTTATATAGGGCTTGATATAAAAAGTTAGTTGCGTTGTAACTTGAACTATTACTGCACTTCGTTCATATATTTTTTGCTTATTAAACAACTTTTATTAATATTCTCTTAAAGAAACTTTTATATCAAAGACACGAAAATTTCTTCTATATAAATGCTCTATATCTCTATTAGTAGTATAAAAATGACAATTATTATAGAATTTTTGAAAGCTTAAACTGCATTCCTCTTTCGCATAAAAAACTCAACAAATTTACATAGCTCTAGGCCTTTGGCGGTATATTGATAGTCATGAAATCTATATTCTTCTTTATTATCAAAAGAATTGCGTAATCTTTCATATAGTAAAATTATGTAATCTATTTTCACAAGTAATTCATACTTGTAAATGAGCACAGTAAAAAATTCAATAAATTGTTTAATTCTATTAAATTCTCTATTATGAAAGTTATAATCTTCTATACATTCAGAAGCATTGTCCATAACAATTAGTTTCAGCATGTATCGTATGCTTGTAATTAACCGTTCATAGAGAAGTGGGAGAATGGATTTCATACGATCTTTAAACTCTCTGCTATCATAAATATTTTTGATTAAATTACTGCAAATCTTTAAAACTGGATCCATTTCTTTGAAATTTTATATTATAGGATGAATATGCTTAATCGAAATTTTATTTTACTTCAAAATGTGCAGTGCTGTTTCGCTTCATGTTTATACTTATACGATTTTATTAACAATCACTAAACGTTATACTAAAATTATCAACTT